ATGATAAGGCTATAATACATATATAAGTCTTCTTCACAGTTCCCTGCGCCATCTTGAAAGGTAGCCATGCCTTTACATCTAGGCGAGACAACCGTTGACCATGCAATGATAGAGACCTGTGGATAATTGTCTGTAGGTGTGAAAGAAGGTAAAGGCACGGCTACCTTTCAAGATGGCGCAGGGAACCATGAAGAAGACAAATGCAGCTAGGGACAGTGCGTCACCCAACCAAAAATATAGCCTGGGGCCTACTTACCTACTTACCTTGTACATTTTCATGGGATGAGTATGCCTGAGAACTAAAGTTCGAACTATTTGTAATTTTCGCGGGAAAATAAAGTTTTTTCTTCATCTTGTCATAATGTCAACTCAAATAAGACGTAAAACCACTCCTCTTCTTTACCAAATAGAACAGCAATGGTTCTCTAGGAAATTCCCTTCACCCTTCCCTTCGTGTTATTGGATTGGTACAAAAGCCAATACCAACATGCTGGTTGAAAGCTTCCATCACGTTTTGAAAGACGTATACCTAGAAAGGAAACAAAATAAGAGGGTTGGTCACCTCATTTACAAATTGAAAATAGCTACGAACAAACAAAAAGCATACAAACAATGGATTAAAGAAGAAAAGGGCAAAATAGCAGCAAGGTCCAGGGAAAGTGCAAAGGGACACGAAAAAGGGTTGAAATTGAACGTCACAGCAAAAAATGAGAATGAATTGGAAGTGCTGTCGTTAGGAAAATCATACCATGTGCAGGAAATCTCCTCTGAGCCTTGCCCCTGTTCCTTAAATGCCCTCTTTGTGATGCCTGTGTGCACAACTTCAGTTGTACATGCATGGATTTTGCCATAAAAAATTTGTGACAATGGTTAATTCCCAGCTTTCCTCATCCTGATAATTAGTAGGTCCCAGGCTATATTTTTGGTTGGGTGACGCGCTGTCCCTAGCTGCATTTGAAGAAGACTATTAATTATGRTAGTCATTTATACATTTATATTTTTAAATACACAAATCTAATGCCTTCTTATTAATACAGACTTTTCAGATGCTTGTGTAAAAGCAGTATTTAGACTGTTGTTCGTTATTCAGGTCAACTATAGGTATGTAAGACATACTATCATCATTCAGTTTCACTCACAGTTCTTTATTACATGATTGCCCCCAGCCCCACCCCTCTATGTTTTTCTCGATTTGTTTTCAAATTTCATGCCATCACTATGGAGAAGAGCTGTTGGTGTGTAGCATGGGGGTGGGGGATGGTGGGGGGTGGCGGGGGGCACAAGGGAGGAGGAAAGCTGTCTATATTTAAATTCTTACTATCTACAGTGTTAATTGTTCATCATGGTTATTTTTATATTTGCAGAGATAACAGGTCAAGAAGAGCACTTGAAAAAGTTGTTAAGACACTTGCAGAAAAACATGGTTCGTTAATTTGCATAGAGATGCATTGATGCTAACTATGCCATGATCCATGATTTTATCATTGATGAAGACATGATGACTATATCAATGTTGACTTTTCCAGGAACGTCTGCTGTCAAGTATTTTTGTGCTGCATTCTCTGGTTTGGAAARTTACATCAAAAAGTGCTATCACAGGTGACATTCATATGCTTTGAAATTTTAATTCCATGAATATAATGATTGAAATATGTTCTATTATATATTATCAGGACTATTTACTGTAGCCTGTGTACATCAGGGATTATTTGGAAGGGGTGATCAAACGGATGGGATTATTTGGGAGGGATGAGAAACGGATGAACACAGACTGTGCTTACTGTAGTGATTGTAAAAACTTTAATTTGTATTGATGTTATATTTTAATTATTATGGACATTATCAGAGTGAAAAGCAACACCAGTGAAAAAAAATTATGCATTAGTACTTTTCAAAGTTCCTCCACAGGGACATTAGTCCCTGGTGACTAGGCAGGCTTTTATAATAATCACTTTTATATCCATGGATATATCTGGCACCCATGACAATTACCGCTGTCAGTTTAAATTTATACTTAACCAAATACTTACCAAGGAGTAATGAGTGGAGGCAGCAAGCTCAGCACAAACAGCAATTAACATGCATAATAAAGCAGGCAAACAATGCAATGTGCGGCTCTGCACAGCTTATGGGTATAACCCTATATACTTTTGAATGAGTCATGATATCCAAGCAGTGTCTTCCATTAACCTATGTTATTGCCTTGAGTTTACTATGCATAGATTACAAGCAAACATTCAAAAATGATAATCTCCATAATGCATTGTATTCTTAGTCCCAGTACTAGTGGTGGTTTTCTAGTGCCGTTCAAGTGGTCTTGTATACTGGTATCAAATGTTTACAGTCAAGACAAAAAGTGTCAAGGGACAGAATGGCTGAAGCTTGTACAGTGTCAGTCATTGGCAGTGTATGGCGTACTGTGTGCTGGTAATGGGATTGTTTGTAGTATAGTCACCAACAAGCTGCAGGCAATATGGAAAAAGGTTTGTTTCCTTCATGTCTAATGGRCAACATCAACATAGTGTGTGACGTGTCCGTGGAATCATTTAAATTACACTGTATTATTTACATATTTTATTTGAACTTCTCGTCTTCTCATCTGTTTATGGGAAGAAATTCACAAACCAGTACTTTAGTTTAATCTTATTAGCATTATAATTGTTTAGATTCCTGGTATTCCTGGCCAATATGCAAAGGCAATAAGTGAATTTGAACCATCTGAGGTATGTACATGTAACAATATGCATTCGTTTACAGATTGAAGTTATTTGCTGTTGCTGTAGCAATACAGCATAACATCATGTAGCCTCCTTTAGCAGCCCCCCTGTGTGGTCATGCAACGCTGTGTGACAGCACAGGGGAGGCTGCTAAAAGGAGGCTAAACTTCATCCAAAGTGATAGTTGAATTAGAGGATAGTGGTTTTGATGAATATTGCATTTTGTTTTCAGTATTCTCTGTGTTTGGCTGGGTTATTGTTTACACATTGTTCAAAGAGTAAGGTGGACTATCCTGCTATTGCCAAGTATAAGGTGATGTTTAATAGTCTACTTCACGGTTACCTGCGGCATCTTGAAAGGTAGCCGTGCCTTTGCATCGAAGCGAGACGACCGTTGAGCGTGCAATGATAGATACCTGTGAATAATTGTCTGTAGGTGTGAAAAAAGGTTTCTATCATTGCAAGCTCAACGGTCGTCTCACTTTGATACAAAGGCACAGCTACCTTTCAAGATGGCGCATGGAACCGTGAAGGAGACTATTGCACCATACTGCCATTAATCATTTTTACATTATACATCTTGATGTAAATATAGTGCAACTGACTAATGAATGGTTGCTGAGTATTAAGAGCATGCTGTTAATGCTGCTGTCCCTTTTGATTCTYAGGCAGCCCATTACATGTTGCTTGAGTTGTAGGACACTGAGTTATGTAAATTCATCTATAAGTATTTCTACTAGTATAACAAAACATAACTTCTAATAATATTAAACAAATGAACCCGTGAACACACAACATCTTACTCCATGTGCTACTATCATAGTCAGACATTTAAAGGCAGCTCTGCATGTAGTTGACATGTATTTTAATATCACCTATGAAGTCTAGGCTCAAACCCTTCTTGTAATAACTACATAAATTTTATTTCTGTACAGAAACCATTGATTGATGTTTATATCAAGAATGTTCTTATGAGTAAAACCAAGCTAATTACACCAATATTGGTATGTTGTGGACTTTGCATAGCATTTATTTTCAGGAATTGTCACAATTTTACATATTGTACAAATAAGCTTGGCATTTTGAGAAAGATTTTGAATTAAAAACCATACTTTTCTCAAGTAACTATTCTGTATTTTCAGAAACAATGTTCAGAGTTCCTGTGTCACTTGAACCGTGAAGATTTCAGCGAGTTAATCTTGCCAGCATTGTTGAAGTCTTTACTGAGAAGTCCTGAAGTCATTTTGGAATGTAAGTTTAACATGGATTGAAGATAAGACATGCATTTTTATGGTTCTTTTGATTATTTTGCAAATAAATAACTTATCAGTCAAAAATATATAGCATCAATTTCAAAGCACCATTTAAACTATACTCTTTGTGGCTGGTCCTTTCATACTGTACTTTCCCTTATTTGTAAACATTTTTGTGGTGTACAGCCTCTTTCTGGGAATTGCAGCCCCCTCCCCCCACTAACAATAATGATTGCAGTTCTCCCACTCCAACAATGATGAAATCCCCTACCCCTCCATCCCCAAAAAGTAAATTGTGGACCAATCCATGCTAATGATTATTTAATGTAGATATTCTTGATCATAAGAACTGGATTTCTTTCTTTATTAGGCACAACTTATTTAATTTCGTCTCTGTCTATTGATTTATCTAAATTTGCTGTGAACATTTGCAAGAACATATCAGGTAATTGTAAATCTGTCTTTGTTATAATTTAGAAATTTTTACTTGAAGGGCAAAATGGCAAATGACATTCAGTTCAAACATGTTTTAAATTTTTCATATATGATAATGATTATTACAGCAATGTGCAGAAATTATGATCTTTTTGCATATATCCCAAGTTTATAAAAAATATTTATGGGATATCATCATCAATATTTTTTTGTTGCCTAGCACTAGTACTTTCTAAAAAAGTATTGGCGATGATATTAAATATACTTACTTGAAATATGAACAAGAAAGATCATAATTTTTGCATATTGCTGTACATACAGCCTTTTGCAAAAATTATGAAATTGTCTAAATATCTAAATATCATAATATCCATATCCATACATTGTCCGGAACACGCGGGTTTGCTAGAATAATTCATTGTTGACATCGAGAAAATGTTCAGAACTACGGATAAGTCCGTCGCCAAAAAAAACTAAACAACAAAGACAAGAGACTAAGGGCATCGCGCGGGATCATGCACTTGATATTATGATATTTAGATATTTCAACAATTCTCATAATTTTTGCAAAAGGCTGTAATATATAATATATACAAATGTTATTAAAAAGGAGTTCCTCAAATATCCATTTGCAATCTTTTTCTACATGTATCTGTCAGTTATGTGAAATTATTTACATATTAATCAAACTGCAGTTTTCAAGGGATGCCAGTTGATGGTGATATGGCCCAGGGCTTGACTAATGTTATATTATGATTATAGTAAAACCACAAGATGCAGTCAATTTATTTTGCTATTGTTTGTTTATTTACTCTCAAGGTCAGTTCAAAGCCAAGGAAGAAATCCACAGACAACAAGCCCTGTCTGTTCTTCAACAACTAGCTGATCATTGTAGTGATCCCAATGAAGTCAGTGATCTCCTAAACTACCTTTTTGGTGTCCTGTCAGGTAAGAGAAAACAAAATAGATGATTGAGAATACAACATAAGGGCTGGTGTGCTATTCCTTGAAATCCTTGAAAAGCCTTTGCAGGGCT